TATTTACTTTGCCCTTGTTATAATAGTATTAACTATACCTTCTTAATTTTCACGAACTTCAYGTCCGTGTATTATTTGGCTGTAATAATGCAATATAATAATTAGTGACATAAAGCAAATAAAAGTGTTGTGTTTTTTTACCATCTCAACCCAAACCCAAACCCAAATAAAAAGGCCAAATTTAATAAAAATACCTAATAAGAATAAAAATAAAAACAAATGGTTGCATCTTAATAATATTACTAATAAAATAATAGGCAAAATGTATTAAACTATTATTATTAATTTTCATGTTGGTTCTTTATATTATTTTTCATTATATTGTGTGGCTCACGATTCTTTTGATAGCTGAAAAAAGCCACCCTTCTAAAAATTCACTAAAAATACTATTTAAATATATTAAGATTTGTATAAAATAATGTATAACAATAATTTCATATAATTTATTTTATAAAATATACTCAAAGTTACCTAATAAAAAATGCATAGAATCTATATAAATTGACATTTATTTTTTAGGTTCATATTAGTTGCTGTAATACCTACATTATACATCATTTCACTACGTGACCTACGTTAGACGAAGATTCGATCAATGGGAATATTACACGACTTGGAAAAAAAAATTTAAAATATCAAGGATACAACAATAAATCCACATGCTATAATGTACATCAGACAATAGTTCAGTTAACAAAAGCAAGAAGCACCTAACAGTTAACTATATTATTTTTTGTACGATTTGTCTTTATTTATTATTTTATATTTTTTAAATAATTTTAATAACGTTGATAATAAGTTTATTGTATTATTATTATGTTTTTATTATTATAATATTATACACAGTTCTAATGTAAAAAAGGTCAAAATCCCTAGGATTTAAACAAATTTAAATTGATTTAAAAATGATTTTTTTATTAGTATGTTTATTTTATTGATGTAAGAATAAATTTTATACTATTTATACGTACCTAGAGGTKTTTATACATACCTACAACAAACATTTAATTATTTATAACATAGAATACRACGTGTGTTAAAGAGTTTWAAAAAAACATATTTTGTAACTATTTGCTAACCACCGGTGTTTATTTGGAGACGATCGGACAAAGTGGGTGGGATAAAWTTTTTTTTTTAAATCGGCCAAAAATAGAATTTTGATTTGCTAACTTCAAAAATAGGTAGATTTGCTAACTATTTGCCAACTATCGGTGTTTGTTTGGTGACGATCGGACAAAGTGGGTGGGTTACCTGAACTTGGCCCACCCAAATGAAAATTACTTATAACGTCCTCAATAATGATTTGCTAACTTCGAAATTAAATTTGCTATTAGTTGCTAACTATTTGCTAACTTTTGGTATTGGTATGGATCGTATCATAGAAAGTGGGTGGGTCAAGTTTCATGCACGTTTTAAGAAACGCTGCTTTACAGACTACAGTAACCCACCTGTAACCTACTGCACAGCAGAGCAACATCCAATTGCYCGCTTTTTTAATATTATAACGGTCTATAAAATATTAATATTAATATATTTAGTGAAAATCTCTGCAGTGTTAATTATTTTTGATTAAAACAAAAAAATTATTTTATTTCTTAATGAAATCGGGTTTTTAATGAAAATTCTGATTTTCCTATACATTTTACCTCCTTAAGTACTATTTACTAATATAGTATATTATACTATCATACTAATATTTTCATTATCCATCATTTTTTTATCACACATAATATTGTGTTCATCGTTACCTAGATTACATTCGCGAGGATTTATTCCAACATTAGTTTTAATAATTGCTTTGGTAGAAATTAAATACCTTTGATAAAATATAATGCTTACACTTTTAGAATGACACGGGTTAATCCTAATTCCTAAGTCAAAAACCATCTGCAGATTCCAAAATAGGAATATGAAAAATTTGTTCACGGGCGTGGAAGTTATTTAAAGTTTAAAGAGTACAAAACTCACTCCCCTCATCTTTACACGGACGCAAATTATGCTAATGAGACTTGATAACGGCATAAACACATAATAGGTTAGCATCATCCAACAAAGCATGTAATAAATTTGTCACAAAACMGATTATACATTTATAAATAGTTTTGGTTTATAGTTTAGAAAGTTATAATTTCAATATGACAAAAAACACTGCAAGACGAAAAGGACAGCACGAATTTTTATTGAACAAAACTCCTCATAGGCACAGAAATTATTCTTAACTTATTAAACGCATAACTTTTTAATTATCTTAGGTATCAAGTTCGTGATTTTTAGTGAATGTTTCAATTCATATTCATGTTTAAATTTATGGAAAAATAAATAATCAAATCAATATGTAAACAGTGCAGGTCTGGTGTTAAAACTGAAACTATTACTCCAAGAACAGTAATCACCAGGATGCAATCACAGTGTACGGATATTTGCATTGAAAGTCACAATATTTCATAACAATTAAACCTACCTCAATAATTCCTCATTCCGTTACAACCAAAAATAGTTAACCTATCAGTTTTAAAATAAAAGCAAAACATTTAACAAGAATAAAAATGAAATTCCAAATAGGTGCTCATGCATAAACATTTTTATCAGGTACCTATAATATAAAACGCAATAAAAAGTGAAATTATAGATGAGTTCAGGAATCCGGACTTCTAGCCATTTAAACATTGAATTAAATATTTAAATAGTTACATTGTATCCTAAAAAGTAAGAACTAAAATATATAAGCTATTAAGATTTAGGTATTTAAATATTTTATAAGATATTATTTTTCTTTTTACATATTCTAAAATGAATTCGTTGAAATTTGAATGAATTTAAAAAAATAGTTTTATTGGTGTACAATAAATAAGATCATTATTGTATTAATAATAAAAATAAAATAGGATAATTTAAAAAGGAAAGATGAAAATTTACATAATTTATGTTTGCGTGTATATGTGTTTTTATGTATAAATATATAATTGAGTTGATGAATTTTAAAACAATAAACTGTATGGAAATAAAAATATTAATATCACAAATAACAATTATTATTAATTAATGTTCTGAATGTTTGTTCAGCCAGTATGATATGATTATTTTTCTGATTTAATTTTAGGAAATACGAGACCAAATTTAGACTCTATTCCCTCTAATATTGGAAGCACTGCATGATAACCTCCAATATGATCTGGATTTGAAGGGGTTATTCCATCACCAGCCCCTTGCACTGAAACTAATTTTTCTGAACCAGATGGACGGCTAAAAAATAAAATAAAAATAAAAATATATACTAACCACGTAAATTATTAATTTCAATTTGTTAATCTTTTAATACTTACGAGCCTCCAAAATCTACATAAAACAATCTCTGTAGAATTTCATAAGACAAAAGTGTCACTCCAAATTGTGGTGAAGAACGGAATACACGAGCTAAACAAAAAAGATACATTTTTATTTAAATATAACTTTTGATGTTACTTTAACTTTTTATACTAAGAATCATGCTTACCGCCTGTTCCTTTCCAAAATGCCCTAGGTCCTTCTTCATTGTAAATTTTCATAGCACAATCCACCAAACCATTATAAGTAGTTTGGCCCTTTCGTGCCACAACCTGCAGCCGAGTTTTTATAACATCTGCGGGCGTTACTAATGATGCAGCTGGAACACCAGCAATACAACCAGCAGCTAACAGTGATAATGGATGATTATAACCTTTTTCATCAGCAAAAGCTTGTTTTACATGATTGTATGCAGGGAAGTAAATAGCGCTGAAAGGTATATCTCGCAGGAAACAAGCTTTAGCTCCCTAAATAATAAAGAAAAATGCATTACAAATCATTTTTACTAATACCACACTGTAGTTACTATATAATGTATTACCTTATATAAACCAAAGAAACCTAACTCTTTAATAACAGTTATAGCACTCAATTTTTTTGTAGATGCTATTTCGCCAGCAACTTGCAAGCGAATTTTTACTATTTCTAATGGGTTGGTAAATATAACTTGTGAAAATCCTGCCTGAAAGTAATATTGATATCAAAATATGCTATTAAATTAAATTATTATAGTCCAAAATATACTAACACAAGCACCAGCGATAATCTCAGAAGAGACAGACAAATCTCCATTTTCTTGACGTAATTTATCTCGCACTAAATCATTAACTGTAAGTTTTGCTGCTTTTTCAGGAGCAACACCTATGAGCTGAGGCAATAGACCTCGATAAAGTCCAAAAATTCCTTCATGTCTTATTACCTAAACACGTATAGTATTTTTWAAAACATAAGTAATAAAGATTGATATTAAAAATAAAAAAATGTATTTAAAAAAAATACTATAAAATCTATATCTCACTTTTTTAAAACAGTCAAAACTGTTTCTGTACATAAGCTCACCAATAAATGAACCAGCTCTTTGATTTTGCATCCTAGTTTTAACCAAATCAATTGGATACACTGCTGTGGCACCAATAGCTAAAAGAAAAACATGTATACTTTTTTTAGTTTTAATTAAACATTGTTGTTATGGTTTTATTGTCTATTAATAAATATTAGATAACATGAATCAAACTTTCTATTTTGAAATATATATTATTAAATTTCAACTTAACAAGATGAATTTTGAATATTTGATTGTTAGTTACATATTATTCATAGTTTCTGTAGTTTGTTATCATAATCAACCACTTATTAGACAACAAGCTTGTTTGGCCGGAGGAGAAGTAGCACAGAATTTTGAATTTCCTTTTATGACAGTCATATATCATAAGACAATGTCATGTTCTGGAGCAATTGTATCAGAAGAATGGGTTTTGACTGCAGCTCACTGTTTTTCTATTAATTATATATTAGGTTTAAGACCTAGCGATGTCAAAGTAGTAGCTGGCATAGTAAATTATATTGAACGAACAAATAATTCACAAGTCAGACACGGAACAGAAGTTCACATACACCCAAATTATAGAGTCAGTAAAATTATTCATGTAAATATGAAACATTAATAAAATGGTTATGGCTTATTATTAAAAGGTAAAACGAATTGCGAATAATGACTTAGCAATCATCCGAGTCAAACCATTTCTTATGACTATTGCTGTTAATATTATTCGTGTATCAGATAGAGGACTTCCAACAAATGATTACATACCATGTACAGCTATTGGTTGGGGAGAAGTTGATACACCACCTGGCCGACAAAATACATGTTTACACAAACTTAAAGTATTTTCTTCAATGTCTGCTAAAGCATGTCCAGGTCTTCAAGATTGGGAGAGGAGAAAAATCATTTGCTTACAACAAGATAAGGGAAAAGGATTATGTGATGGTGACTCTGGTGGTCCACTAATATGTCAAGGTATACAGTAAACTACTAGAATAGCCTACATAGTATGAATACTTTATATTACYTATTTAACTAGTTAATTTTAGGGGAATTATATGGAATAGCTCATCAAGTATACAAAGAAATAAAAAACGATAGTGAACGGAAAGATTTAGAACGCTGCGGAGCAGCTGGTATCACTCATACATATATGTTTGTGTGCCCATACTTAAATTGGATACATCAATACATTGATACAGTGCCAAATATGCCGTCATCGTGTTACTGGAAATAGAAAAATAATATTACCTCCAGATATTGAACCCAGGGTGAATCGATACAAGCTCTCCAATACTTGAATAAAAACTCCTCTATCAGATGGACTCTGAAATAGAGATTAAGTAATTTAGATAATAGATTAAAAATATAATAACCTTTTAATTATATTTACAGATACTGCATGGATTTCAGCTATTCTACGATTATGTATTTCTTTATAGTACTGTTCTGGTGTTATTGATTGTAAATCATTATAAATAATCTTTCTAAAAAAAATATATAGGATTAAAAAATATGTTTACATAACATTTAGTATAATTTAATTACCCAGCTCTTTGATGTAATAGATGGCATAGMKTGAATAATATATCAACTTCTAATGGAGTAATTTGAGACATAACTTGAGTAGAATACAAAAATTCATCTGAACAACGAAAATATTATGATACATTATAAGAAACAGCAGTTTTTATTAGGGCTGGGCCGATATACAAACCGATATGAAAAAAAAAAACAATGTATCATACATAGATTAAATATTTGATTGTATTAAAAATTGAACACTTTAATTGTTATAAAAAGACTTAAACAAAGAATGTTTAAAAACTGAAAAAGGGAAAATTATTATTTTTTATATATTATGTGATTTGTTTTTTATTATAATTTTTATTTGTTTTATTAAAAAGTTAAAATTATACTTATAGACTATAGTTAAAACTTATAAATGTATAACTTAAATTAATAAGTTAATAATTTATTATCAACTAACAAGATAGAAAAGTGTTCATTTTAAATACCTGTTTTAAATTTTTAACTTTGTTATTTAATATTTAATATTTATTATTTATGTACAACTGTGTTAACTCTATTTGTATTAAATATTAATTGTATAATATAATTAAATAATTAATTATTTTTTAGTATTTATTAATTATTTAATTTAATCATTATTTAATATAATAATATATAACAATATTGATTATTACAGTATTACTAGTTACTACTTAGTACTTATCGGTTAGTATTATTGGGTATTTTATAATATCGGTTCATGCTTTTGGATAGAAATTCAAAGTTTTGAATAYATCAGTTATCGGATTTAAATCTGCATAACATATCGGCTTATCGGTTATCGGTTAAAAGTGATATCGGCACATCCCTAATTTTTTATAAACAATATGAGAATCACACAAAATCCAAGTTAAAAACCTTTAGTAACTTCTCGATTCCGATTTTCATTACTGGCATTTAAATAAATACGTTTGACAAGTTCCATGTTGTTTAAAAGTGATATAAAGGCCATAAAATATGGAAAACTAACACGATGTACTCCTTGACTTCCTCCTGCAGCCTACAAATAAAAAAAAATATATATATAAATTCAAATGTATTAAAAAATTAATGATTTTAAATTAAATTACTGGTAATAAGTTATCTCGGACACCGCTAGTTAGTAAATGGCTTTTGGACAAAAGCATTATTTCTTGAAAATCATTGGCTGATATGAAACCAGAACCGGATTTATCAAAAATACGAAAAATCTCAGTACCACATTCTTCGTGAAAATCCTAAAGCAAAAATTTTAGTTTAATTGTTAGTATTTACTTAATTAAAAATACTTTAAAAAATTAAATACATGTAAAAATTGTGCAAATTCTGAATAGTTAATAAGCCGATTTTTCTTTTCTCCAAAATACAATTTCATAAATTGACTATCCAAATTGAAAGGTATTTTTAAGTACAGTTCAGTTTTTTTAATAACTGATACAAATTCATCTGAAAATAAAAACAATTATCATGCTATTCATTGATAATTTGTAATCTAATATTTTAATACCATAAGAAATCTCTCCATTGCCATTTATATCAAACAAGTGAAATGCTACTTTATATAAAGCATCTGGTTCAGACAGTAAACTTTCAAATGCTTGAAATTCCACGAATGAAATGAGTCTAAAGAATAAATTGTAATTTTATAAAACAAAGTAAAAAGTATTATTTTTATTTTTTATCATTTAAAGATTTTCTTTTCATTTAACTGTAAATAACTAATTTAAATATATATAATAAAACTAAATTATTTACATTGCCCAATTTTAGTTTAAAATCATAAAATACCTATCCTCTGTCCAACAAAAAAATGTGCCATGGCACAATGTTAATCAGTATTTTTGCACATCCTCACTCAATACCTATCTGTAGAGACCAGTTCCACTATGGCAAGGTGTCAGTTGGGGTTGCCAAAATTGGCAAGTCCTCTCACTGTACAGAGTAAATACGRTTGAGCTTCAATAACTCAAATTTTGTCTTGTCCCTTAAAAAATTATTTTTTAGTATTTGAAAGGTATATAGCTTAAAAAATATTTCAAATTCATTTTTATCTACATTAAGATTCAACTTATTGAGACTCGACTGTATTATGTTTATTAGCAATAGCAAAATATGAACTGGGTAGTGGGTTTACATRCTGCAAAAATTACTTTGACTAATTTATTTAATCTTGTTATTGTAAATGATACAATAAAACAATGAATATTACATTTTGCTTTTATAATATTTTTAGTGTTTGAACTAAATAACAATAGAATACCAATGTTAAATGTCTGTATAATGTTATTTAATATTTTATTAGTCTATACTTTAATTTGCTATGAACATAGTTTTTAAAACACACATCTTAAAATAGGTATATTAGTATGTGTAATGATAATTTACTACTAAATTAACTGTATTATAGGAAAATACAATCAAACGCTAATAACTTATAATTTATAAGTAACAACTTACAACTGTTTAATTTAATAATACAGTGTAAGTGAAAAAACAGGACCTTATCCGTTAATTTACTACCACTATTTTATTGTTTTTTSGTTATTATTTTAGATGATTATATATAATAATGAAATGATTCACGGAAATGTGTTGATTAGTTAGATCAAGCCTTTGTTAGGAGTGCAACTCATCAGTAATTATTGTCGTGCCTGCAGAAAAATTTTCAATAATAATTGGCAACAATGTACATGCTGATCAGTCGGGAACAGGAACTAGAAAAGTTTCTTTGGCTTATTAATTTTGTAGATCCTAATACTTTGGCTCGCACAAATACTATTGAGAGTCCTTGGAGCAAATTTTGAAATAAAAAACAGTGGGCTACCTACCAACCAATGCTGAACAGCTACTTGGTCGAGTACATATTGTGGTGTAAGCATTATGGTCCTAATCATTTATTTGAAATAATACTACAACATATTGCATACTTCATGCCCCCAAAATCAAAATAATATAATACATATATAATAATCTAAAAAAAAACGGAGAAACCAAAAAAATAAATAGTGGTAGTGAATTAATGGAAAAAGTCTAAAACACATACAATAAAGACCATTTGTAAACCTAAAATAGTCTATAATATCAAATATGCTCATTATAAATTAAGTGAATAAATAACATAAGCAATAATTTAGGGTAAATACATATTTATGAATATTTTTTTTAATTTTTTTTTTGAAAAATTGATTTTACATACTAATCATACATACGCCAATCATACATCTACAATACATACCCATCTTTGTTAGTATCAACAATTCCACTCAACAGTCTCAAAGAATCTAAGTCGCTGGACGGTTCGTTCAAAATGCCAATATAATTTTTTATGAAGTCAACAGAATTGATATATTTCTCACCTTGCTTCTCAATAGTGGCATACTGAAAATTAAAATAAATCCTTAATATGTTTTAGTTTATAAGTTAATTAACTCTAGAAAATATTACTTTGTTGAACACTTCCAATAGTTGTTCTGTGGTCGCTCGTTTAAGATAACCATTGTGTGACTGTAAAAGAAAATTTATCTGATTACAGCAAAATTATAATAATTTTCCAACATCAAAACAATTATCGGAATGCTTGGACACACCCCTATTATTCTTTTTATAGATTTAAGAACACCTTATCAACTTGTTGACCTAGTACCTTATAAATCTCATTTTAAAAATGTATACACAATTCAGAAATGTTGAAATCAGTGACATTGTTCAGTAAGAATAAATTTGACAGACAAACATAGGTATTTTACTTTAACATTTGTAGTAGTTAAAGAGACCTAACAAGTAGGGTCTTTCAATGCTAAGTACTCAAATTTAATTCTAATGCTTAGGAAGTAATGAAAGATAACTGCTAGCTTGAACCAAATATTGGGCTGAAAATGATATAAAACAGATAGGTAACAAATATTTGAGACAGAAGCACCTAATATGAATAATACGACCAACATCCCATTGTAATCAAACGGTCAATAATCAATACAATTTTAAACACGATGGACAGAAAATACGGGTTTTCGCCTCTGTCAAACGGCACAAACTTTATGTATAGAATTGGATAGGTGCAGGCAGGTACTTACTTCTTGGCAGTGAGCTATTTTCGGCCGAAAGCCCCATGTTGAATTACTCATTCCGGTAAACATGTATCATGTAGGGTATCGTTTAAGTGGCCGTGAGCGGGTATTCGTTAAGTACAAGGCCGGCGATGAAAAAATCAATTTTCTTCTTCCGTTTATGAGTTGTTTTTTTTTCGGCGCGCACGAAACGAATAAGCAGCTTCGACCATCAACTCGTTGCGCCCGATACTACGACAAAACGCCGAACGAGCTGATAACAGTACTGATGTTGATTGTAGCAGACATGCGCAAAAWGTGCGATTCTGGCWGGCCCAGGCTCAGGACTCAGCAGCTGCAGCTGCAGCTGCTTCTAAGGCGGTGATTTTAAAAAATCGATAACAATACACTAGAAAATGAAGAAAAGGTCACTAACGCTATCAGTTTTTGTTGCCTTGCGTCAGCCGTGTGTTATCAATACTTATAGAGCGGTTCTCAAATCGTAAATGTTAAATCGTAATTAA